GAGAGAGAGAGAGAGAGAGAGAGAGAGAGAGAGAGGTATTGGAGTGGTGTTTTCTCTTTGCATCCTCTGTACAATTCTTGATTTTGGTATCAACCATCTTCACTTGTGGCAATCTCGAATTTTCTTTTCTTTGATTGATATGCGATTTCTCCTTTTTCTCTTCCGCCTCTTTCATTTTGATATACCAGAGATGTACAATGGTTGCAAAATCGATGGATTGTCTGGTTGCCTGGGAAGCATGAATGTTGTCGATTGCCGAGTCCGGATACTATTGCATGTATAAGATCAGAGGTTTTGTTGAATGATGTATGAGAAATTGCTCCTTCTCTTTTCCTTTTTCGCTGCATCGATCGGTCGTCTAGTTGGCATCAAGTCCATGGATATCGCCTTTCCAAATAGACCACGAACGAAATAGATGCATGCATAACAAGTTGTCTTAAACTATGTGGGAAACATATCCAGTGCACGCACATATACGAACGGTCAAAGTAGGGCGGTCATCACATATATGCATTTCTGCATGATCTGTCTCCAACCAGATTGCACCTTGCACGCACGGATGTATGCATTGAATTTTCCTCACAAGACATGAACATTGGCACTCTTTTTTGGATCACCGACCGTGGCTGTCTGAGGGACCCTGAGTACCGAAGATACTCAGTCTGGGAAAACGAACACCTCTTTTGTTGATCGAAATTAAGGCTTCCGATATTTCCCTACCTAACTGAGAACGATCGGTTGTGTGCATGGGACTTCCAGCGGGCTAGAGAGAGAACAACATCCCTGAATTCTTGATTACCCCGGCATACGTAACCACCAGTATTACGTAAAACCGGGATTCGTCGCCATTGAAACCAACTTCCCTCCCTTCTATCTTCGTCTCCCCTACCACAATCTAACGGTCGTCCCTTGGGATGCAATAGCCCCCTACTGGCCCCGAAGGCCGTGCTTTGAGTGTTAGCAGCATTACACCGACTGGGCCGCGGGATTTGTCTGACGAACCCGTTCCGACGCCGAGCGCCGAGAGCACTGCCTTCGACTAAGGTTGTTTGCGTCAGATTCGGAGACTTGTGAAACCCGTAGACGTCAGGTGTTGGAACCGAGAGACACCTATTGCATTCCTCCTGTGCATCAAGTACGAGCCCACCCCAGGTGACGAGGCCGACAGAACTAGCCGATCGGCTCTAAGAAGTGTAGATCAGAAGGCCTAGCCCCTCGCTGAATCACTTACACTTTCGCCCCTGGAATTTGACACTGGAGATCTCAGTTCCGACGTGGGACTCCAACCCCATTTCCTAAAATCCTTGGCACACCCCTTTTACGCACTTCCGGGCCCACTCCCACTCCGAAACAAGAAGTCACGCTGGGTGTGAGATTAGGGCGTCACACACCTACCACCCCATCTTCAGGCGTCAGCCACTGCTGACGACGAATCATAGGAGCCGCCATCATTGACCTGGCCCCTTGCATAAGACCTACCTCACCCTCCGCTGGCATGGTGCACACTCCGCATCCTCCATGATGAGCGCCCCTCCACCCACACTCGCCGGCACCATGAACACAAGAAGGGATGCCCAACTGCGGCGCGACGTGTGCGCGAAACTCCACCGACAAGGAGATGGAGGTGTACGAAGCGAAGGAGCGGGTACAAATTGCCATGCCCGCGCACATTTAACCAGAGCAATGGAAATTCTGAATTTCAAACTACGGCACGCATGCTGTGGAGTGCCTCCTCCAACCCCGCCCCCCCGGTCCCTCCGGTCCCATGGGCCCACCAGCAGACGGACATCTTTTCCGCGAGGGAGTGCCGGACTGGATTTCATGTGCGCCGGCAGGTCTCCCCAAAACGAGGCCCCAGGGTGTTTTTGTTTGAAGTGCAGCGATTTCAAGGGCGGCCTCTAATGCACGGCTAAGTGTAAATAAATCATGAAAACTTGATTAGGGTGCACTTGAAACTCAAGAGTTCTCTAGTGGTGTGGAACCAGGCTCTAAAGTTTTCAACAGCCCTCTCCCGGGCTGGCGAGAAAATCAGTTGGGAGGGCACGGTGAGAGTTACTTACTAAAGCCAAAGTTGTCATATATGAAAGGCATGCACGCCAGCTTCAAAATCTCCCTTCTCAACACTCCTGTGTGGGGGAGGGGGGGGGCAACCGTTGAAACAGGGGACCGTCTTAAAAAACCTGACAGCCATTGAAAAAAAATCTTTTTGACGGCGATGTGGCGAGGCCCTAAACCTCGGCAAATGGGAGATGGCCTTGGTTCTACCTTTGACTTCATTGTCCTTCTGTCTTTTGTTTTTCTTTTGGGAAAACTGAATCTGTACCCCATGGGAATACTCGCTATACCCAGTCCACCACCCAACTTGCATCTATACCCAGACCCTGCCCAACATACCCAGTCCCACAGGCCCTTGGTTGGATTGGCGACAATGGGTCTCAGTGCTGACCGGGTGGAAAACGTTTTTGAAGTAGGTCTTGGCGAAAGGGACAGTCTGCGGGGTATGATGGGTTCTGGCGAAGGGAGGGTCTACAGAGCATCATGGGCCTTTGTAAAGGAGGGGTCTGTAGTTGTTTAGTCGGTCATTTGTCATTTGTGTTTTGTTACCTTTTCAAACGTGCTTTTTTGCGTGAACTGCGTGAATTGGCGATAGGTGGGATTCGAACTATTGATTTTGGCTTTTTTGAAGAGCGCTATGGAAGAGGTTCGAACCGGTGTCTTTTTCTGTTTTTTTCTGTTTTTCAGGTTCTTCTCGAACAGCGATTCGTTTTTCAGGCATTTGGCCTGTGTGGTGGACGATCAACGGTTAAGATGTAGTGTTATCAACTGCAGTTGATTCTGAGCTAGGGTTAGGTTGACAGACCGGTAAAGTGGTGTCGGGTTACAGACTTGAACTTTGGTGTCGGGTTACGGACTTGAACTTTGTTTTGCTTAGATAATAGACGGACTGTTAAGTTTCTAGAACAACCACTTTTACTGTTCCTTTTGCTATATATATGGGAGTCTACAGTCCTGTTCCTTACCGACATCCTAAGACCCCTGATGAGGCTGGTATGGCGGCCAGC